TTAATTGTACTAAAAAAATTGCATCCGCTTTTTAAATTATCTTTTTAATAAAAAAAGATTGTACAAAAATATAACAAAAATCTATATTTTATATAAATAATTATCTAAATAATTTTAAATCTTAAGCATATTATGTCGATATTTCACACATGTATCTATATATCAAAATATTCATATATATTATATAAATATTTTATAAATATAAATATAATTTTAAAAATAAACTTTGGAATGTATTTATAAATTGTATTATATGTATAATAATTTAAAATGTACCACTATTGCGAAGATATACGAGCAATTTTAATTTCACAAGTAATAAAGAATAAATTAAGTTAATAAATTGTTCATCCTAAACGATTTCTCCCGCTGTCATCCAATGCTTGTTCAGATCTCTTTCTTTTCTTTTATTCATTCTTCATTGCTTCTTCATGGCATTCATATGATATACTCGCGAAAATAGTTTACGATTGGTCGTGTATATTAATCAACAGAATACAATAAGAGCGCAATATTTTGCATGTGCACTTATGATCACACGTGATACGATATTATATTATAACAAGAAAATAAATACAAAATCTACGATGACTTGCTCAACATTTAAACATTATTATTAGATCAAATTTATGTGCTATTCGTTTTGACAATGTTATTTCTATAGCTGACGAATAATATAGCTTGCATCATAAAATCATTTTAATATAGTAAATAAATAAACAAGTTAAAATTAAAAATAAGTACGGATCATATTAAAAATATAATTACGTTTGTCGATTACTTGAAGAATAGATTTCGATCGAAGAAATCTCGCGCAAAATACATTTCTTGACAACGATGCACAAATAAATTTATATGGTATGAAATTGATAATTATTAAAATATACAACTATTGCATGTACTAAATAAACAATATATACGACATCAAAATCGACTTGAATATCATTTAACTGATGGTTTGTTAATCACCGAAAAATGTAATACGAAAATGACGTCGGTTTTACTTGACATTGTGCGATACTATAGACGAGTCAAATTAAGACGTACAATCAATCGCTAGAAAATTTATAATCAAAATTTAATATCGTAAATATAGATTTCTAAGTATACATTTCTTATACATAAATTTCGTAAAATTTATCGATAATTTTTAAATAAAAAATTTATTCGATAAATTTATTGACAAACAATCAATATATTATATCTTTTTTGTTACTTGGATCAAGCAGCCGTGATATTTTTACGATTCATTTGTCGTAAAAATAAATTTTATAAACTGTTATAATTATTTAAAATAATGATAGAAAATATTTATCATATGATCACGTTTCTTTCTCTCGAAGAGAACAAGCTACCTGCTCAGTCGAGCCTGGAATGATAACAAGGCCAGGTAAATAAGCTATGCCACAAAAATAAATAATATACTTCCAATTACATCACTGTATATATTAAATTCGTTATTATTAGAAAAGATTTAATACGTATTATAAAATGAAAGTATACGAAATATTTTGTTTCTGAAATTTTTAATTTATTATTATTAAACAATTAATGTAATCACAACTTTTTGTTACTTTAATAATTTGATCCTGTATATGAGATTCGTACATTACTGCGTATTGCATCTAAAAATTGACACATTATCTAAATTAGCGAGAAATTGAACACATGTAAGACGAAGATATATTTAAATCAAAGCATTAAAGAGATAATTATCATAATAAATTAATAACATATAATTCCAATCATACTTCGATTTTTACTTCAAAATGATATTGTCTCGCGAATTTAGATGTAACGCGCCAATCACATTTTCGGATTAAGAATACGCAGTAATATGCGAGTTTCAAATTTCAGAATTGAGTGATTAAAGTAACGTAAAAAAGCAGCGACATCAACCATTTGTCAATAATTAATTTGAAATTCATGCAACGGAATATTTCACGCGTTTTTATATTATAATACGTGAAATATGTATTTTGTGAATATTTTGTAACAAATTAATCGTCACACGGTGTTGCTGTGTGCGGTATAGAATAGTGGTGTTTACATACCACGGCCTTGATGTCATTCGCGCGGCGACACTCGAGTGAGCAAGCAGCAACGCAGTTCGCTCTCTGTCCCATTATCTTTTGAAACGCGATCATTCTCCGCGATTATTTATTCCATTAACGATTATTAATTCGCGCAATTGATTAATTCCCACGATAAGCGGCAATTAATTAATTATCGCATACGCATATAGCTATTCGATCCAAATAACGAAAAAACGTATACATTTTGACTGTTTAATTTTTATGTATATTTTTCCGGATTTTTATGTGTAGTAAATGTATCACACTTGCTATATTTCAAATTTCAATTATATAATTTCTAGCGATTTATCGCATATTATCGTATAATTTTACGTAATCAAGAAGCTGATATTTTCGTGTTTTTCGATTATAACGAAATATTGCTGCAATACGTTTTATTAATGAATACAGTTCTTATTAATAATCACATAAATTCTCAACAATTTTGATTTGTATATTTATCTATTTACATTATAATGTGAAATAATAAAAATGTCCTGAGATACAAATATTTTCCGTCAACAACAAAAATAGTCGTGGCGAATAGTGCATAAATTTGGCTGCATTCTTTTTTGAATGTCAAGCAAATTGTATTTTTGAGATTTATTTTTCTGTCGTGATATAATAAAATGCGTGTGATCGAGAGTGCCATATAAAGTGTCGATCGTTGTATTCTGCTGATTAGTATGCACGTCATAATTATAACTATATTTTTGTGAGTGCCATATAACACAGCAATGAAGACTGAACAAGAGACATCGAGTGACAGCAAAATATATGAGACTTTATTTCAAAATATTTAAAATATTTAAATAATAATTAATATTTTTGTAAAGATACATGTGAAATATTTGAACGTTGTATTTCGAATTTGTTATATTTTATGAAACTTCATATATAAGAAAACATTCTTTTTCATTACAAATTATTCAGTTCTTTTATTGGAGATTTACTTAAAAAAAGAATAAAAAATTCAATTTCGTCTGATAATTATTTTTTGAAATACTAATTATATTTGGACAGCATTTTTATTTCAATTTAGATATATTTGTATTTCGCAGATTATACGAAACTGTCAATTCCACTATATTGTGTAACGTGTATAGTTAAAAAATTATATTTTTTATTTTATAATTTAGTAGAAATGGATTTATGATAATTAGATAAACACACACACACACGTATACACATAATAAATTTAAAATAGATTAATATTAAATAACAAATAAAAAAAAAAAAAAAAAAAAAATAAAAGAAATAAATTATATAACTTTTTTAAAGTTATATAATTATTTTCATCTTAAAAGTACAATTAAAAAAATGAAAATTCGTTCGTAAACAAACAATGATATCATAGTCAGTTTTTATAGTCGATGAATATATGTTGAAATATGTCGAAAAACAAGCTTTTTTTCAATGCATGCAATCGATTGCACATGCACACGATTGCTGTACTCAATTTAACAATTGAAATGTAAAAGCAATTTATATGTAAAAAACGCAAGATTTCAATAATGATGCCTAACGTTTACGTCCATTTCATACCGTAATATCAATAAAACACTTGTCTGGTAAAAAGCATACAATCGAGCATCATTTCGCCATTGAAAGATGTTACTGCAAGTGGTAACATCTTGAGACTACATACATTACATGTTGCCATCGAATTCTGAGAATTGTTATATTCTTATGAAAGTAACATGAAATTTTATTACTTGATATTCAATTAATTCTTATATTTATCACTTCACGAATAATTTTTGAAAAATTAGTATCATAAAATGTTACACTTTTCACTCGCTACTTAATTAACAAAAATATTTAAAAGTGCAATTTAATTTTGATTTTAAAATTCTATCGTTGTAAGATATTTTGCATATGACAAGATCATAATCTTAATTAAGAAATGATATCGCGCAATCTGTTCCGGTGAATTCTGTATATCAATAGCAGCATCTGTAAGATCTTACCTGAATCACCTGAATTAGACAAGTAATGAGGCTCTTAAAAATAATTATTATTTATCAAAGTTACCGAGATCGTTATCGCTCGATCTTACCTTATCTCGCTGTAAAATCTACAAATAATTCAATTTTATGAAGTCGCTTTATAAAAGAGATAACCATCTCGTGCGACATTCGGTATTCGCGTATTCCGCGACATTTCTTTCTCGAGTGAATTCGATGCAGAAGCCAGCGGCACCACGTCGTAATGAGCCCGACGAAACCCATCAAGTGTAAATTTCTCATGAATGGCCTCTATACTTTGTGGGTTATACCAAGTTCCATTATGTATGTATTATATGCCGAGAGAAACCGAATGAAATCAAATCGTCTAGATTTTTGTTTAATTATAATTTCGATTAATTATCCGAATGATATTTTATATTAATATTGATTACGATATGTGCAATAAAACATCATTAACGCCAATTATATTCATGCTGTGACAAATCGAATATTAATATTATAATGTATCGATACCGATAATATTGATCGATAATTCGAGTATTCGAGTTGCTTAAACTGTATCTAGACTGGTAGTTAGCGAAAATTGAAGACTGGGACAATATATTTAACACATTTGCATCGAAATGTACACTGTCACGACGATCTACAATCCGGCGGAAAAGTTACGAGCGGGATTTAACGGGCCTGCTTATTGCCCCGCTAATTTATCCAGCACTCGACTTCGTTCTTGGGAGCTTTTTCGCCTCGGGCCTTTATTTATTCCTCGGCGAACAAAGTTGTTCGTGCGCCCGGCGCATGCAACCGCGCTGGACCGCAGTTGATCTTTCGCTCTCGAGAGGTTTTCGAGAGTGAGAGCAACGTTCGAAGAAACACACACTCGAGACCCGAAAAGATGGAAAGAGAGAGAGAGAGAGACAGAAAAGAGGCGAGCCATGCTCTCGGGAATACACATTACCTTGGTATGGAGGAACGCCAAGGACTTGTTCACGTTCTCGATTTTGTGAACTCGCATGCGCCCATTATTGGGTTGGCCAATCGCTCGCCGGAGATGATCTCTAATAGTTTGAGTAATTCTTGCCGTCCCCTAAATCGGTGAACAAATCGTCCACCCTCCATGCGCGCCTAGAAAAATTAATCATAATTACGAAAAATTATTCATTGAAAAAATAACGCTTCTCAATACAAACTATAATTATATCGCAAGATATTTGAGGAGAACATTCTTGAATATACAAAAATGAAAGTATATGTGCTAGTTGTACATAATATAATAAATCAATAAAATTGATAAAATAAATAAATAAATCAATTGATATAAAGATTCGCTCGTATATGAAATACAAAAGTGATAAATGAAAGGCCAACTTATCGAGCAATATTAGAGTTGTTCAGTCCAATAACATTTATTCATGTATAAATTATCTAAGCTACAATCATTCAATATGACAACTTACGCAAAAATACAGTCATTCTAAAATAATAAAATAAACGTTTCGACGCACGCGGTCTTCTTCAGTATAATTACAAAGTCATAAAAAAATTTACATAATATCGAATTTAATTTTAGTTATTCAGAGTCGAGAGTTTACGAGCAGTTACGCGTGTTTTAATCCGTCATGTCCAACAATGTTCGCCTCGATATGATCTTTGATTTTACTCAGATCTCGAATAGTTTCATCGTTAATATGCGAGAGAAATTAAAACGTTCCGTAGACGTTGACATCATCCTCTTGACAATTTGAACCACGTCTCTTTTTAAAAAAGTTATTGAAGATGACACAAGACAAACCAACATATAAAACCTCATTTAAAAAGATCTCTATTTATAATAGAAGAATATACTGACATGTTGAATATTATAATTGAAATTCATATGTCATTGTGAGCTTAATAATTTATACATGAAACAAATGTATTGGAAGAACAACTCTAATAATTGCTAAATAAATAAATGTTTATATTTAAAAGAAAATGTTTACTTTAACAAAAACGAGTTGATCCATTTTGTGAACGTCTTCTTCTGAATATGAAGACGTTCCTCCTGCAGGGCCTTGATGGATGCGGCCTGCTCGAACTTGAGAACGTCCTCCTCTGAGTCATTCTCTTCTGTATCTGCACACCACCCCTGTATCTGTCAACTCTAGGTGGCGGATATGCGTATTCGAGGCTACGGATCCTTTCTTGGGATGCGACGCTGGACCCGGCGCCGGGCACATACTGCGCCCCTAAAAAAAAACAAAAAACATCCGCTTTTTCAAACTAATTCTGTTAGCGTTCTGCTAAACGTATTGTAAACACAGAGTGCGTAAGACGGAACACGACCGTAAATGGTCCCCGCGGACGAGGGATGAACGGTATTTTCTTTTTGGCAAGCACGTGCTTGAGATTTTTCTTTTTTCGTAAGCAGCGGTTCGCCCCATGAAGATTATAAAATAGGAATTAATCAGCGACGAATAACGAAATCAAGATGTACAAAATAATTTCGGAGTAACTGTTCTTAAGACTCGAGCAAAATAAAAGAAAATTAATTGTAAAAATATTATATATAATGTATAAAACGCAATATTATTTTTTCAATTAAATAAGTTCCTAAAAAATATAGATTTTAGCACTTTGTAATAAAATTATGCAAAAGCACTGCGAAAATATGCAAGTCCATAATTAAAAGGGAAATATAAATTGATTACAGTATATATTAATTTAAAATTGTGTATTTTTAATCGCGAATAATATTTATAGTATTGTATTGCATTTTGAAAGAGGCGACGAATTTTATGGTCTCTTTACAAGTGACCTTTAGCGAGGAGAAAATTACATATCAAGAATCGTCTCATTAATCCTCAGATTCCGATTCAAATAAACAGGGGTTTACTGTATCTATTGGACATGCTGATTACTGGCGTGAGTAGTTTAATTATAACCGAGAGACAAAGACACTCGATATAGCTCCTGTAAGTTATAACCTTTTATTATTTGAAATATAATACTCTAGCACGTTTATCCGCTGCAATATAGCATTGTCGATTCATTATGACGCATTGAATAGCCATGCCGATAAGGAACTATCGAATTATCTCTCTCTATAGAATTTAATTTTAGATTAAAACATATCGTGTGCAATTATTTCTATTGTTCGTACAAAATACAAAAATTTCTAAAAAAATTATAGAAAAAATATATATAACAATGATTAAAAATATTGTATTTTTTCATTACACAATTGTATTTAATCGGAATTTTTTTTTAAATATATTCTGTACTTTAGATAATTAAAGAAGTCGGAGAGCCTAAAGAAGTATGTTGTATGTTTTTTTCCGGTATCTACGCGATAACGTAATGAAACGTATCTATCATAAAAGAGATTGATTGCTTTTAACTGGAAGAGTGGACATTGTATGCTGCTTAAGATGAAAGCACACGTCGACTTTTCTCGTGCGACAGAACGAATAACGAGGCATCTCCTTCTCGAGGAAGGATTAACGAGTCGTGATAACTTTTACGAGTAGCAATATTTACGCAGCAGGCAGATAAGCGGAGAATCGAAACTCGTACACGCCAAAATCATATTCGAGAATAAAGTCGCGTGTAAAAATATTCGCGACATTTTTAATCCAAATTTACGGGATTACGTGGATTAAATATTAATCGAAAATGCGCAGAAGAGAAATGCAAATTATCGACATGTTGCGGGGAAAAAAAAAATTCTGACTGCCCGAAAGACGAGACGATAAATTTGGGCAAGGATCATCGCATATCATGAATAACTTCTTTATGATGATGAAGCTCATAAAATACTTCTAAACAAAATAGCTGTTATATGGGGTATATCAGCACTAATAAAAATAAAATTAACGAATTTGACGTTTCAAAAGAATTCACGGTTATTTGATGACCAGTTTGACTTGTCAAATCAATTAGGGATTCTTCAGAATATTAGTATTTCTTTCGGGATTCACATCTCTGATGAAATAAATTTCTCATTAATAATAAAAAATGATACGAGATATTTCTCGCTAAATGAAAGAATAACGAAATAGAAAGAATGAACCGTGTTTATTTTTTTTCCGAAATTATCCCAGATAGGGTGTCCAGCAGACTCAATGAAAAGAATTCCCTGACTTTTTAATATTATTTTCTAAATATATAATTTGTATATATATATAAATCAATTAAATGTTAATCATGAAATCCTTGAGATTTTTGTCAACAATGAAAAGTTCGGAAGTTAAAAAAACAAAAATGTTAATTAATTATACAATTTGCATTATGTACAATAATCGAAACAAGCATGTTACTATAAAAAACTATTTAAAAATAATCACCTTTTTTATTATATTAGAATCAAACTTTTTAGTCTTATCTCTATCAACACATGAAATCAAATTACACGACGATGAAAATATAAATTAATAAACACGCTGCAATAATCGATTTTTAACAACCCAGAAAATTAGCGTGCTGACAGTCAAGGAAAAGTTTAGATTTATTTAATGAAAAATTTCAATTATTGAGACAAATGTAGAATAATGTAAAAAAATCCAAATAAATAGTAAAATTTCCTGACTTTTCCCTGACAATGCCCAGTTTTCCAGATTTCCCTGACCGCTAGACACCCTAAATATTTCTTACTGGATGAAAAAAAAACGAAATAGAAAGGACGAACCGTGTTTAATTTCTCCGAAATGATCCCAGAATGCTAATAATGCGAAGCTCGCATACTTCATATTACCACAGTTCGATAATACGAGCAAGTGCACGAATGACGATTGTATGCGCTCAAGGCAGGACGACTCGTTTCCTGCCGAGCATTCGTGACTCGGCGGGATTATTGTCCTCGCTTATTGTCACTTTGGTGCTCTGGAGATGCTCTGTCGTAAATTTTTCTCCCGGCCTTTAAAAGGACGCGTTAGCGGGAACGTAAATTGGCCCGGCATGCAGGGAGTGCAAAAGAAAGGGATGCATGCGTATATAGTGGAAAAAGCACGCGCAACTTTCAAGTGTCAATTATAGCAGCTGCGCGCATGCGACTGCACGTGCAGCAGGATGATAGTTAATGTGCACTTGCACGTGCGTGACGCGTTTGTAGTTCCGTATCCACGCGATTTACGCTAGGCCGCCAAACGTTGTTTCAACTTGTCGCGCTCTGTCTTCTTTCATTAATATCTCGTGGACTTTTTATTTTCACTTTTACTTGCTCCATTATAAGAAGAAGGAAAGAGAAGAGAGATAGAGTCTGGACTTTTAATTAACTCCAGCCGTTTACTACTAAAGTAGCATGAAAGCCCAGAAGAACTGAGAGTTGGAGGAGATTGAAGTCTGAGAATTTACATACATGTATGAACAAATCTACATTTGGACAGAATATCACGAAAGAATTAGTCACCATAACTAATTTTAACTGTTTTTTAATTATCATAAATTTTAATTATGATAGCCTAAATTTTAGCTATGACAGCTAATATTTTTAGCTATAGAATTCTCCGTTAAACTATAACTAAAATAAGTTTTAAATTTTTTAACTAATATTTTTAGCTGTAGTTTAATGAAGAATTCTATAACAAATATTAATTATAATGTAGGGACAGCTAAAATATTTAGCTACAGTAGTTAATTTTTATTTTCCGTTATATATATACATATATATATATATAAAATAAATTATTTGACTCAAAACAGAAAACTGATACAAATTAGCAATAGGATTTATTCAATATCCATAGAGATTTAATTTGCGGTATTAATGTAATTTTTATAAACATATTGGTTTCTCAATATTATGTATCATTTTGATATTATTTTTACTTTTCATTTAATGAATGCGTCAATATATTTAATATTAATAATCGTTAATTAATTAGCGACTTTGAGAATTAGTGTTAATGATGTCAATCGCTAGAAACACGTATTAGAAAGTTTGCTAATAGAAAACGTGTCATTTCTTTCTTTCTTTCCTCGCGAAGAAACGAAGAGAAGGATCAAGGACGTATCTCACCGAATACAGATTAAAGGACACGCTTTCACAAATCGACGAAATTCGTTTATATACATATGAGCGAAAAATTTAAATGTCATATATCGTCTGGTTTGTGATCACGCCCAGAATCGCGCACCTGGGCCGCTTGTTTCGAAAGTAAATTAAATGCGACATCTTTGCGACGAGTCGTGTTTTGAACGCTTTCACATATCGATATATTAAACAGAATGTGACAGATATCGGTTATCGAAATGGAAGTTAAAAATTTATGGAGACTCACGACTGCCAGCATTTTGAGTGGAAAAGTAGTTCTTCTAATAAAAAATATTATCTTATGGAAAATGTGATATTAAAAATGGTTATCATTGAAAAAATCTATATGTCGAGGAACCGACAATGAGATATATCTAAGAAAAATTTCTAGTACCGAGAATGATAACAAGAATAGTGATTGCTAAAGGTCTGCGGTCTATCTAAAAGTTGAAGTAGCGGTACCTGGATCTATATCTGTGCTACCAAGAATATAATATCAATGATTTATGGTGTAAACCGGTAACCATAAGAATCCATCAGCGACTTATGGTATCGTAGATCAATGATGTCAAAGATTTATGATACCAAGCGTCTTCTTATAACGATGGTAGCGAATCTATGATATCGAAAATTTATCATGCCGAAGATCTATTAGAAATGCATGCAAAATTGACGAGAAAAAATATTACAGCCATAAAGACCATACAGATTTAAAATGCAACAAATATGTAAAATTAAATATTTATGATACCGAGGATTTATGGTACGAAGAAATTATGCTTCTGACATACACACATACGTACATATAAAGAGAATGCAAGGTTAATGACAGGTAACATCTTGGCGGATTTGATTAGAATACTTGGACGGACATGTACTGAGTATTCCTACACGGTAGTCGGTATTCCTCACTGTATTACGTGACTGTAACATGTATTCTGAATTCCTTAAGCGTGACGTGCACAACGTGCATACATATGTTCTCGTAACTCGCATTAAGTACATTTCGGTATACGGCTTACATTAAGGAGATACAATACGTATATGTATTAGTAATGATATTTCAATCAAGGTGACACTGCTTAATTTCTCATACCGGATCAATAACAGATATATTGAAAAATATAATTATTTTAATTATTTTATTTTAATTATTTTCTGTTTTTTTTTTATTTCTGTCCTAATTACGCTCATTTATTTTGAGGAAAAAAATATTTTTAATTTATATAATATATATAATAGACTAAAGAATATATAATCGTAATTTATAAGTCTTTTAAATATTTATTTCATACATTCTTGTTTGCATTGCTATAATTATAAAACTGTAAATGAATATTGAAAATTTATTTTTATAATTTAGAATTTTTTCGAATTTGCTGCAAACAAGAGAAACTTGACGTTGATAATTTATAATTTATATGAACTCTCTTTTGAGATATTTATTTGAATTAACTATATGTAGTTAATTCATGTAGTTTATACTTTTTCAATGTATAATTTATCTTGTCGGACAATTTAAAATTTCTTTGATAGATTAATGACAAATGGCAGATCAGGAATTCCACTCAGCTTGTCTTATCTACGAAGAAAAGCTGGTGCAAACAGGTACGGTTATTATGAAATTATCCTAACAGTGTGCGCATTAGAGTACGATTAGACACTATCCAAGCCCAATTGTATATATAGATATATGTAACGGCTAGAATCATTCCATTGCATTAACTAATTATGTAACAACGGAATATACACGGCGAGAAAGAATTTGCGAAGCAGCAAGCGCAGTGATAGTTCTCATGTATATTTACCAGAATAATGTTTGTATGCCATAGAATTATCGATGCTTTTACACACGAAATGATCTTCCTATCTAGACGGCAGCGCAATTTTCATCCTCGAAATTCATTACAAATATATTAATTAAATGCGGGCGAATTCGCGAGATGAAACACGAACGAACGGTGACACCCAACTGATTCAGTTACCAGTCGAAGACCACTGACAGGACTGTTATCACGCATATCGCATGTGTATTATGTCGGCCGGCTTATTTATGTAGCAGAAGCTAAGTACACATATATGTGTGTGGCAAAACATAGGCGTGGGACTAATAGGATTTGCGATGAGAAAGTAAAGTAAATAGAGAGAAATTAAAGTAGAGGAAAAAAAATTAAATTGATAATAATTAAATTGAACAATAGAGAAAATTGTTGCAAGATTCAATCAAGATTCCATTTAATATATAAATGTAAGATATTATTTATGCTTTCTGTAAAGTTAAAAATACATTAATTTGAAATATTACATTTGTATGCATAGTGTTGTGATTTTTAAATTAAGTGTCAAAATTAATTTAAATTTTTAAGCTGACAATAAATGATATGATACTATGCAATTAAATTAAGGATAATTTTTTAAATTATATTTAGATGTGAATTTGCAGCAGTATTTCAAAAAGATTAATATAATTTGTAAAAGAAAAAATAAAATATGATTAAATGGGCAGATTATAATTGTTGATGCAAAGAATGCAATTGCATAAGATTGGTGTGGAACTTAAGCCGAATCTCTTTTTATCTAAAAAGTACACCATTAAAAGAAGACACTTTTTATGGAATGTTTAAATAACACGTACGTGACGATAAGCATGACTTCTCATATTTGAAGCCAACGGAAATCTGAGCGAAATAAAGCAAGATTAACAATATTTGGTTATCATCAAGTATCTATCTTATTATATTTTTACAGATTGTAATTGTAGACAAATAACCTTGCTTTTGTTGATTCCTCGATTTTTCAAGATTTCTTTATTTTTTTATATCACCGATTATTTAAAATTTAAATTGCAGTAAAACTTTATTTAAACACTTTTGCATATTGCCTCTTTTAAATATTTACTGTCGCTTAATATTTTTAACTAAATGTCGAGATTTTGGAGCATTCTGAAGTTAAATATAATTTTCTAAGTAAATCTTAAAGCTATAAACTCGTATATTTTTGTTGAGTAAACTTCCCTGAATACACATTTAAGGTCAGTAAATCTCTTTTCAAGAAGCTCTCCTGGTAGCTGTGTACCTTCGTCTCAAAAAGAGAATAATAATCAAATCTGAGAGAAAGAGAGAAAAAGAGAACAATTTTCCAATTTCGTGTTTTTGTTGACAAAAGATCGCATCTACGAATCTTGAATTTTTCAGAAAACTAGTAATAACTTTAAATTACGTATATAATTAAAAATCGAAAATTATCGCCTGAGAAAAATCGGTGATGCCAATATATCAGTGATAGTATGTTAATTAAAGAGCGGCCCTTTAATCGTGGGGCCGTCAATGTGGCAGGAAGAGCGGAATCGCACCGGAAATACGGCGATTGTGCTAAAGTGGGTTCGGTTTTTTTACCAGAAGCCATCTTCGCATATAACAAGATACTGTTAATTTAAAGCTGCGCCAATGAAGCAAGCGAATAAAAATTGATCTTATTATCGGAAACACAAAGATATATTGCTTACACTAAAGCAGATGAGATTTAAAAAATTGATGAAATAAACAAAAAAGCTTTAAAATAATGATGATGATACCAAAATAAAATCACATTAAAAAAACATATATAATAATAATTGCATATTATAAACTCTATAAGTAAATTAAAAGATTGAAAAAATTATGTGCTATAGCTTCGCTTTCATGTCATAATTATTAATTATAATGGACAAAATATAATTGTGTAATTTTCCGAAAATAAATAATCAATTTAATATATTTAACTGTACGCAGAGAGAATTTTCTCTTAGAATTTATTCTGAAAATTATGGTAATCATGGACAATAAGAATTTTATAAGAATTTCTCTGATTAATATTTATCACAATAAAAGTATTAATATGTACATAGTAAATTTTAGTATGTACATAATAAATTTTACTATGTACATAGTACAATTCATCGAACATATTTTATATTTTATTGTGGTAGATATTACTATTTTTATTGTGATAAATATTAATCAGAGAAATTCTTATAAAATTCTTCCAATACCATATTGTCCACGATTACCATGATTTTCAGGGTAAATTCTAAGAGAAAATTCTTTCTGTGTAGAGAGAATTTCTAAAGAATTTTTATATGTCAAATTGATATACTTGATCGAGTTGAACGCTCTAGAAATCGAACCGTATGAAGATGATACCGATACTATTCGAAAGGGCATTGTTGTTGCCGGCAGGAAGCGCGGAATTGCACCGGAAATACGGTGAACGCACCGAAAGAGCCGAGAGAGGAGCCGCATGTGCAAGACTAGCGGACCAGGTGAAATCGGAGCCGTATTATTAGCCCTCGTCCTGGAAAGTGTCGACCCGTTCTGTTGACACTGATAGCCAAGGCAAACATTAATTCATTCCCATATCGTCATATACGCGCGTATGTTACAGAGTATCCAAAGCAGAAGCGAGTTTTGTGATAAACGTACCGTGTAGAATTGTGTGTGTGAAGTTGGCGTATCATTTTGCGGAAACTCATTATATTTTGAGAGTTCTGACTTCCTTTTTAATAGTTCTAGAGTTCCTGATAGGTAAAACACATAGTTCTGCTCGTTAAAGCCAAAAAATTGCTTAGTGCAAAGTGAGACGCCAACTTCACGCAGCGTCTCACTTTGTCCTACGACATTTTCCGTATCAGAAATGATCAGAAATGAAAAGATCTATAGTTCTACATGAGTTCTAAGAAGAGTTCTACCTTCTAAAAGCAGAAAATATTAATTAAACCAAAATTAAGATAATCGGATACCTGTATCTATAGATGTCGAAGGGAGACGCCAGTCAATTTTTAACAGTTCTGCTTATTATAAAGTAGTTCTCGTATAGTTCTGGGTATGTACGATGAATTTCCAAAGAGTTCTGATAATTAAAACTCTTACAAATTATTTTAATTAATTATTTCACCCGAAAAACGTCTATTTTCGACACTAAAGGTGAGACGCCAGTCGATTTTCGAGAGTTCTGTTTTTTCTAAAACAGTTCTCGTATAGTATTAGACATGTATATTGAGTTTCCAAAGAGTTCTGATAATTAAAACACTTACAAATTATTTTAATTAATTATTTTACCCGAAAAACGTCTAATTTCGACTGTAAAGGTGAGACGCCAGTTGATTTTCGACAGTTCTGATTATTATAAAGTAGTTCTCGTATAGTATTTGTCATGTACAATGAGTTTCCAAAGAGTTCTGATAATTGAAACTCTTACAAATTATTTTAATTAATTATTTTACCCGAAAAACGTCTAATTTCGACTGTAAAGGTGAGACGCGTCTCACCTTTAGAATCGAAAATAGGCGTTTTTCGAGTAAAATAATTAATTAAAATAATTTGTAAGAGTTTCAATTATCAGAACTCTTTGGAAACTCATTGTACATGACAAATACTATACGAGAACTACTTTATAATAATCAGAACTGTCGAAAATCAACTGGCGTCTCACCTTTACAGTCGAAATTAGACGTTTTCGGGTAAAATAATTAATTAAAATAATTTGTAAGTGTTTTAATTATCAGAACTCTTTGGAAACTCAATATACATGTCTAATACTATACGAGAACTGTTTTAGAAAAAACAGAACTCTCGAAAATCGACTGGCGTCTCACCTTTAGTGTCGAAAATAGACGTTTTTCGGGTGAAATAATTAATTAAAATAATTTGTAAGAGTTTCAATTATCAGAACTCTTTGGAAACTCATTGTACATGACAAATACTATACGAGAACTACTTTATAATAATCAGAACTGTCGAAAATCAACTGGCGTCTCACCTTTACAGTCGAAATTAGACGTTTTTCGGGTAAAATAATTAATTAAAATAATTTGTAAGTGTTTTAATTATCAGAACTCTTTGGAAACTCAATATACATGTCTAATAATATACGAGAACTGTTTTAGAAAAAACAGAACTTTCGAAAATCGACTGGCGTCTCACCTTTAATGTCGAAAATAGACGTTTTTCGGGTAAAATAATTAATTAAAATAATTTGTAAGAGTTTCAATTATCAGAACTCTTTGGAAACTCAATATACATGTCTAATACTATACGAGAACTGTTTTAGAAAAAACAGAACTCTCAAAAATCGACTGGCGTCTCACCTTTAGTGTCGAAAATAGACGTTTTTCGGGTAAAATAATTAATTAAAATAATTTGTAAGAGTTTCAATTATCAGAACTTTTGGAAACTCATTGTACATGACAAATACTATACGAGAACTGTTTTAGAAAAAACAGAACTCTCGAAAATCGACTGGCGTCTCACCTTTAGAGTGAAAAATAGGCGTTTTTCGGGTAAAATAATTAATTAAAATAATTTGTAAGAGTTTTAATTATCAGAACTCTTTGGAAACTCATTGTACATGACAAATACTATACGAGAACTGTTTTAGAAAAAACAGAACTCTCGAAAATCGACTGGCGTCTCACCTTTAGAGTGGAAAATAGGCGTTTTTCGGGTAAAATAATTAATTAAAATAATTTGTAAGAGTTTCAATTATCAGAACTCTTTGGAAACTCATTGTACATGACAAATACTATACGAGAACTGTTTTAGAAAAAACAGAACTCTCGAAAATCGACTGGCGTCTCACCTTTAGAGTGGAAAATAGGCGTTTTCGGGTGAAATAATTAATTAAATAATTTGTAAGAGTTTTAATTATCAGAACTCTTTGGAAACTCATTGTACATGAAAAATACTATACGAGAACTGTTTAAAAAAAAAAAACTCTCGAAAATCGACTGGCGTCTCACCTTTAGAGTGGAAAATAGGCGTTTTTCGGGTAAAATAATTAATTAAAATAATTTGTAAGAGTTTCAATTATCAGAACTCTTTGGAAACTCATTGTACATGACAAATACTATACGAGAACTGTTTTAGAAAAAACAGAACTCTCGAAAATCGACTGGCGTCTCACCTTTAGAGTGGAAAATAGGCGTTTTTCGGGTAAA